CGTATTTTGCGCCCTCAATCAGTTCCTCCATCGCTCCGCCCTTATCTGTTCCCCATTTCATTGAACTTTTATACGATAACAAATCCTCCAGATTTTCAATCGGATGTATAATCTTAGGGAACGTGAGGAGAGCGACCAGATTTCCACTATAGGTGGTGACCGTTACGATTACAAATAGCCACCAGAATGTGACCAGAATTCGTCCCGATATGGCCATTGGTAAGTGGTCTCCACCCTGTTGTACCATTGCTCCGAAACAATACCACGTGCAGTTTGACAGCTTAAATAGGCCTTTATTGTCCCTCATATTGTAATAGTCGTAGTATTTACTCGATCGGTGAACAATCCATAGCAATGGTCCCATCACTACAACTGTTATTAAGATACTCACCCAAGCCTTCAACATATCATTGATTAGAAATTAAGCATTTTTAATAATTGATTTCATTGACTCACATCCCAAGTAAAAGGGGTTAAGAAGAGATATTTATGATCTTCGCTGGTCTTCTGAATCATCATGGACATCTCCTCCTTGTCGAATGGGAACGTGAAATACACGGCTTTCATGCGTTCTTCTGTTCGCCAGTAGCCGTTGGCAGCGATGTCCACCTTATTGTCTTTGACGAACCCAATCATTCCGGTCCACGAGCCGTCCTTTTGCAGGCGACCCAAAGTGGTTGATTCGGCGATCACTTCCCACTTGATTGAGAAATTCATTTTTGTAGCCAAAACTTTAACCATTCTATAAGTTGTTCCGTCAATTATATGGCTTCCGTTCGGATGCTTTCCCATTATATTAACTAATGGGGGTTGCTTTACGAAATGAACAGGGTACAGTTATTGTAATGTTAAAATCATATCATATTTTGCTATTAAACTTTTAATTACGTGTATTTTATTTAATGGTTTTAATTAATTATATCATTAAATACTCACATTTACAATACCGACAGTAATGGGCCTGTTTTTGAGGTTACCCTCTTCATATCCGAGTACAGTTGCAATGTGTAAATATCCTTTAAATGGAGTCCAAATGCCTGTGTTTTCTACTACCACTTTATATTGAGGATTGTCTTCAAGTTCAGTGAAATCGTCTTCTTTTTCTTTTTCTGAACCGATTCTGTGTTTATAAAGCGATTGAATGACAAACCGATCGCAATTCCCACAGAATTGAGACATCGATTTCTCTGTTCCCAATTCAAGCTAAATGTGAGAAACAGTAAATACATTTATTTCCTTTTTTAATTCAGTGTAATTTATAAATAAATACTTTAATTTAATTAATTAACAAATATTTAGCGCAATTATAATTAATGATTATTGAATTGATAGTAAGACTAACTTTCATTTCTGCGATGACTCTGTTCTTGGTCTGTGCCTTCACTTGTTTGGTATCATTGAAGTCATAAAACGGCAATTCAATCACTTTCTTAATGGCATCCCTGAGTGTCTCGAAGGCGAGTCTCATTTGACAGCCCTCTTTCAATTCACTGCACTTACTGTACGCCGATATCTCTCTCTTAACAATAGCCACATCTGTAACACTGAATATTTCATTCATTCTGCGCCAGAATCCAGACTTCTTAGGGATGGGCTCTGCGATGATTACAATCCACTTTCGGGGCACAAGTATTAGCGATCGCTGATTGGCTGCTGTCATAAACTCTTCGATCATTTTACCGCCGCCGACGACAATGAAATATTTCATGGAGTCATCGGTTCCTATCATATCGAGTACTTGTGTTGCATTAAAGTCATTACGAACTGACAGTTGTTTAGTTTCTTCATCGGATTCGTCGCCAGTAATCGTAAGCCTATAAGTAGTAACTGTTGTGCCTCTGATTCCAGAACCAGAGACTCCTTTCAATCCCTTAATTAAGTCATCCAATGTTTTTGTGTCTATATTTTAACCATTTTT